GATGCTAGGAGATGGGGCCAATTGGTCCATCCTGCATGTTGGAGAATTCAGCATCCCTGTAGAAGCAAATGAATAAGATAATTTCAGCAAATGGGATAAAGCAAAGGCTTTAATATTGGGAAAAAGGAAATCACCCCTCAACTCATGACTGGAACAGAGAAACAAAAATGAATCTAAAAAGCATTCTCCCTGCTTAGCCCCCATAAAACCTTGTAAAGTTCTCAATTCTAAAATAGTTATCTCAACAAAACTGAATAACCTGTTAGCTTTATGGAATTTCCTAGAAGTAAAGAACTGTAGATTAGTTATTAACCAATAATGAAAATATAACATACTAAATAGTATAATAATCTGAATGAATACTTTCAGGGTAATTTGTAAATTTAAACATGATAGTTAAGACATCTTCTTAACTATCATGTTTAAATTCACAAAGTAATCTAGAACTTCAATATAATATCAATAGAAATGCAAGACGAATTTTCTCAGGAATTCAATAAATGTACTTTAATGTCCATGAACAGCTAAGTCAAATTTGAAGAAGAAAGGAGAAATTTTCCTAATCAGATACTGAAACAGTACAAAGCAATAAAAACTCATAAGAGTGTGATAGTGATATAAGAACAGAAATCTAGACTACAGAATAGCTCAGCCCAACCCATGTGCATGTGGAAGCTTAATATACAAAATAAAGATAAACAGAGATGGTAAGATTGAATGAATAGATAATGTTCAGAAAACTGGGAAACAAAATAAAGAAAAATCAAAACAAATCCCTTCCTAAACCCAGATACATGAACGAACTCCCTGTGGACTGACAACCTACATTAAGACAAAATTGTCAAACTGATAGGAGAAAAATGAATAGACCTCATTAAACCAAAACTCAAAAGCAAACTTTCAAGCAAAAACAATGATAAAATTTCTGTTTAACAATGGACATCACATTCAAAGTTAAAAGAGAAGAGGATGGGAAATTTTGAATATTTAAAGGTGAAAAGAGTTAATATATATAATATATAAGGAAATTCATAAAAGATAGCAAAGTCAATATAACAATAGGAAAAGCAAACTGAAAACCCATTGATAAGAGAGAAAATGCAAAATCCAACTGGAGTTAGATATACTTGTATTAATAATAAAAACTACGCTAATTTAATTAAATGGCGCTTTCTACCTACTAAGCAGAAAAAAATCAGCTCAATGACTTCAAATGGTGGCAAAGATAGGGAGATGAGAGAATCTTCATTTTGGGGGTGTAAATGGAACAGCTATTATGGAGAGCAAGTTCATCAAACAAAGAATATGGAGAGTCAAGAAACCAACAATTCTGCTCCAGGGTATAAATCCCAGGGAACCTCCCAGGCAAACTCATAAAGTGACGGTTTCAGGGTTGTTTTCTGTCACTCTCTAGTGATGGCATGCAGATAGAGGGAATGGAGGTAGTCTATCACTGGCAGACTGGATAGTGTGGGTATACACACAGGAGTTCTAAGCAGCCGTGAAAAGTGGAGGGCCAGATAATATAACAATATGGGTGAATCTTAAAAATATAATGCGAGAGAAGCAGAGACCAGCATAAACTCTACAACATGATAATATTTAAGGAAATTAAATATGTCGGCCCTCAGAACAAAAATAACCAGCTAATATAAACATAAAATAGTTTTAAAAATTAAAGTGATTGCCTGAGTAAGAAAGGGAAATGAGGATAAAAGAAAAAGGAGAGGAGACAGGAAGGATGGAGAGAGAAAGAAGGGATGGAAAGAGAGAGAGAATAGCTAACAAAACTTCTGAATTTGATTTACCATGTTATCTAGAGTAAGAAAAGACCTTCTTAAAAGTACAAATAAGGTCGGGTGTGGTGGCGCACGCCTGTCATCCCAGTGGCTTGGGAGGCTGAAGCAGGAGAATCGAGAGTTCAAAGCCAGCCTCAGCAAAAGTGAGGCACTAAGCAACTCAGTGAGACCCTGTCTCTAAATAAAATACAAAATAGGGCTGGGGATGTGGCTCAGTGGTCGAGTGCCCCTGAGTTCAATCCCTGGTACAAAAAAAAAAAAATAAGCACAAGTACTTGAAAGAATGAGGAGGTTTATCCTTTGTATTATCCCACCCTTTATGTCTAATATTTCTAAAATCCAAGACAGGTATCATAGAGGAACGTGGGTACTGCAAGTTCTTCCGGCCAGGGCACATTGCCGTTTCTAACAGGCTGTGCTGGATTTTTCTCAGCACTCAACTTTGGGATTTCAGCTGATATGGGCTGGTTGGCTATAAATGATTAAACCAAACCCAGCCAGTCTTTATCTTAAATATCGCTAATCTGAATTGGAAATAAGTCACCATTATCAGCATCCAATGTCTTAATTAACATTCTGATAGCAATCAGCAACTTGGTTCATCATTGTTTTGTTTTCTATTTTTTTATTAGTGTATTTTAGTTTTATAGAATAATGGGTTTCTTTGTGGCTTATTCATACATGCAAATAACATACTTTGATCATATCCACCCTTAGTGTTGTTTCAGAAAACATTTATGGGGAACATTTCTGAGGTCATTGGATATCAACTTAGAGAAGTCTAACAATTTCTGCGGAGTGTAAGTAAGCTCCAGTTTTCTTTATTAACAGGTGCACGGGTCAATACCAATGGCATCACAAACTCTTGCAAGGTGCTAAGCTCATGGTATGTGTCCAGTAATTACTTGTTGAGAATGATGAGTTGCCTGATTAATATCAGTTCTGTCCTCCTGTCTACAAGTTTTCTGACACTTTCCAAAATATATATAGATAGCATTTCAGATGTGTACTCTCTTTCTCTAAGCCACTGTTCATTAGTCTTTTAAAATTCTTCCAGGCTACAAGGAGCCCTGGCTTTCTTCACTCAACCTCTTAACCCAAGCAGATTCCCATCCCTCACTGCCCCAAGGCTCACACTAACTATTTCTTCTCTAGAATACAACACTTCACCAGCAAGAGTTGCTTTCTCAGTCCTGATAATGGCAGGCCAGTGTCACCTGCTCCTCTGTTAGTGACAGTAACCAGCCTCCTTGGGGACTTAAAGGGTAAATGCCTTTAGGCCCTTAGATTAGCTGCAAATTTGACATCTGTGGACCTTTAGAGAATACATCTGGCTTAATTGAGCAGGAAAGTGATGGTGGCAGAAAAAGATTAGCTTGCTCAAGCTAATGGCAGCCTGGCCTTTCTTTCCTCTTCTCTCTCAAATCCACAAGAAAGCACCTGTGACTCATCCATACCAAGTGAGATTTTTCACACCAGCAAAGCTGATAGATCTCTCCACAGCATTAAGCAAGCAGCTGCAAGGGCTCTCTCTCTTCCCTAAGACAAGTGGATCTGTCAAGTCCCAAAGATCATCTCATTTTTGCTGTTGCCCAGCTCAGTGAACAAATGAGGACAATAAGTCAAGCAAGTTTTATGAGCTGCACATTTTAATTGATTTAGTGGACTTAGTTATGAAAAGAAAGTCATCATGGTCTTTCTATAAGTATGGGCATCACAGTAAGCGCAACTCCAACCTTTCATTTATTGTCAGAATGCTCCCTGTGGACCTAGCAACGTCCACAGGGGCAGCTGATTCACCTAGACTGCCAGGGCAGACAAGGAAGAAAGAGGAGGAAAGGAAGAAGAAAAAAGAATGAAAAGGAAAAGGGGGGAAATGAGCAGAGGTGCATAAGGCAATGCCACATTACTGCTAGCAGTAGCAGTTCAAGGACATTTATGACCTAGAGCCAGAAAATCTAAGTTTAAATTCCATTCTGCCCATTATAAGTCCGATGACCTGAGGCAAGTTTCTTACCTTCCATGACCTCACCAGGAAAATGAGAATGATAATGTTTATTGCATGAAGTTGTGAAGATTAAACACCAAATACTGACAGAACACTCTGCCCAGAAACATTCTAAGTGCTTTGCGTACATTAACTCAATCCTCTCAACAGCCTTCTGAGCTGAGTGTGTATCAGTTTCCAATTGCTGCTGTAACAAATTACCACAAACTTTTTGACTTAAAACAACACAAATATATTATCTTAGAGTTCTAGGGTTAGAAAGTCCTAAAATCCAGAGTCAATAGGGATGTAATACCTTATGGAAGCTCCAGAGCAGAATCAATTCCCTTGCCCTTTGTGGATTCTAAAGCCAGACTGCAGGTTCATGGCTCCTTCCTTGCATCTCTCAAGCTTGACCTCTGGTTCTATTCTGACTTTTTTCCCCCTCTCATCTGTGCTGCCTTCCTCTTATAGAACCATTGTAATTATATACTGCTCACCCCCATAATCCAAAGTAATATTCCCATCGCAAGATCCTTAAACTTAATTATACCTGCAAAGTCCTTTTTGCCATCTAAGGTAGCACTAATCTGGTGATTAGAACATGGAGATCTTTGGGGTCTTTTTGTCTACCACAGGTGCTACTATTATCTCCACTCTATAAGTGAGAAATTGATAATGCAGAAATATGAAGTAACTTTCTCAAGCCATGCCTTCCCCCATACTTCCTCCCTTTCAGGGTTCCTATACAGGGCATGAGGAAGCAGTATGCTGGGTTAACTCTTGTTATGCTACAGGTGTTAAAATGACAGTGATGCTATAGCTTCATGTCAGTGGCACCAACACCACAGGTGGGTCTGCCCTTGGCTATACAGAGGGTGGTCTTGCATTGACAGAATTTAGGTTTGGGGGAAAGCAAGGCATGAGTGGGAACCCTACTCCTCTCCTACAGCGGTGGCTTATGAGCAGGCAGCCTGGGCCTCGATGTCTTCCTCTGCTGAATGAGGCTGAAATGAAAACCTCATTCTAAAAAGGTGTCAGGGCAGTGGAAGGAGATCCCACTTAGCAGTTTCAAAGTACCAAAGCAAAGTCAGTGTCAGCAACCATTCATGTACTCAATGAGCCACAGAAACATTGGTTACCCATGCTATTACTTGAATACAAGGGATGCTGGAAAAGGAAAAGATGCTTTGGCATCTCCGCCCGGCACTTACCAACACAGGTCCCCTTCCTGTTGTAGAAACCGTCACCACAACTGTTCTCACAGCTGCCATCTCGCAGCACTTGCAGGGGATCTTTGCAGGCCACGCAGTGCTTCTCTGTGGGGCCCCAGCAGCGTGCACAGGACTCATGACAGCCTGCAGGTAAAGAGCAAAATCAGTGAACAATGACTGCAGGTCACTTTTCTTTTAGAGGTTTGGATTTACAAGGAGGCTGTTGATTGGCTCCTTGGTTCCTGGACTGTAATGCACCTAGGTACACCTCAGGAGAAATGAACCTCCCCACTCAGCACGTGGGGCGGGGGGAGGTTGATAAAAAAGCAAACTATGACCAGGAGGATGACTTCAGGAAATGATCGCTAAGAGATGTGGAACAGGAGAGTGGGGGTTTGGAGTACTGGGAGTCACAGGGCAGGAAAACATCATTTTCCAGGCACAAATGGGACTGTTTAATGAAATCAGATGGCCCTGCATCCCTCGACTTTTAAAATCACACAGCAGAGTGTCAATAGTATAACCCTCCAACACCTCCACCATTAGACCTTTCAAGGATGGAGAACTACTTGGTATCTGGGTCCTCTCTCTCTCCCTCCCCAACCCCTTGACCCCCACTAGCTTCTGTTCTTCCTCACAACATTCATCTGCACTTTTCCTGCCATAATGTCTACCCTATACATGAATCTGAAGGATTTGTGAGGTCTGCTTCTTTCTTATGCCTTTGGTTTCCAACCATAGGTTGCTCCAAGACTACAGTTGTTCCCTTCACCCATTTTGTCCCACATACCAGGTATAAAACATGGATAAAAATATGTAATTATGTTAAGAACATAATTATATTACAATACACTAATTGAAATAATTATATGGGTGTATATATCTACACTATAGATTATGATTTCTGACCTATCTTAATGTACCTGTCTTGCTTTTGTAGAAATATTCACAGAACAGAAAAATTGGGACTCAATGGGTTAACATTCTACAATTTTCTTCTCTTCCAACATTTGGGCTTTATTATTATTATTATTACCATTCATACTTGCTCTTTACCTTATTACTTCTACAAAGCAAAGCATAAACTAACTAATTGAATATTTTCAGAATTGGCAAGCTGGCTGTATAGCTAAATCCACCTATACTTTGGTTAATACATCCTAATTTCTTAAATGCTTGCTTCACAATGGAGCACAACCTATTTTGCAGAGGCATTGATTCTGATCAAAATTGGTAGAGGGAATGAATGTGTTTGCTGCTGGTAAGTGACTTGGTAATCATACCTTAGCAATTTAATTAGGAATCCCTTTTCCAGGCAGATGATAGGGTACCTACATTGTAAACTTCAAGATCCAATCCTCTTCTCTCAGTTCTAAATTGCACAAGAAAGTCTTAATTTCAGACAATTTTTCTCCTCAACAAATTTAAAGATAATTACTAATTTTGTTAAATGCTAGGAACACTCTGCCATAAAGAGTAACTATGGTGTGGGTGGTGGGGCCCACTTCATAGATCGGAAGGATGGGAAGTGAGCAGCTATGGGGAGAATCAGAGAACAGCACAGCAACATTCTTGAGAATGGAAGGAGTTCAGGTGTTCAGGGAAATGAAGTTTGCCCTGGTGGCTGGAGCTGCTGGGGCACTGTGGGGCACAGTGGTACCATTATGGGTTGGAGCCACATGCAGAGGGATGATCAAACTTAACCTTGAAAACCACAAGGAATTAGGCATTTAATCCTAACCTGAAGTCACTAATGGGTTCATTCAAGAGCCACACTCCTGACTTAGATTTTCAAAGATCCCTCTGGCTGTCATGGAGAGAGGGTAAGGATGTGCAGGTAAGCAGGAAGAACTACCTGAGGTCTATGTGAGTCATGAGGATAGCCTGGACTAATTTGATGGGATAGAGAGATGGAAGAAAGTTTCCTTACTTACTATCTTGTTCCATCAAGAGGCTGCAAGCTTGAAGAAGGCAGAGCCCATTTCTAGTTTGTTAACTCTGTGTCGAGCTCAGTGCTTGGTGCTTTAAACATCTCTTGAGTGACTTCATTTATATTCAACTCCTTCATATCTTATAAAGGTTGCACCAGAATTCTGTTCATACTTGGGATAAGCAGCTGGGATTGCATTACAATTAAAAATGTGGATGCAAGGATCTCGGTAACAAACTGCACCTTTAGCATACATAAAATATGCCACTCATTTATTCAGCTACCCTTGATTACTCACTGCCGTCATCATCTGAGGTATCTGTCACTGTTCATGCCTTGGCTTCACTCAAAGTTACCTAACCAAACAAACATAAAGCCTGATCTCATTTCTAAGAAGGTCTGTCAGGCAGATCTATCAACCTGTGACAGAAGCAGCTACCATATACCAGGCTCTGTGCTAGCCTGCAGGGGGCTTCCCACCAGCTAAAGGTAAGCCATTTACCTGAGGCCCACTGCAGGAATACCTGCCACACTCCATCACCTGGGCACACTGGGGCATTGTGCACATGGCAGTGGGGAGTAATTGTCCAAAGGAATGATGATCCTTTGGACAGTGAGGCTTTGAAGACAGCAGAGGCCAGATCACCAAGGTCAAGAGGTCCAAGTAAGGGCCTTGAACCTCATCTCCTAGAAAAGCTTTAATCAGTTCTGCTTTTTTAGAGAGTTCATTCAGGCAGTAGGGAGAGGACATGGTTAGCTCAAGATATCTTTAGAGGATGAAGTCATCTTTGTCCAGGGATTGCAGAAGAGACAAGAAATGAAAGCACAGTTCCCTGGATCTTTGGTGACTGGCTTGATGGCTGTGCACTCACCTACACTGGCTGCTAAAATAGTGAAATACCTCCAAACTGGTTGGTAAATGTCTGTCACCCTTAAGCGCCTTTCCTTGATACTCTGACTTCTTCCTGGGATCCCTGGCCTATCCATACCACGTCCAGCAAGCAAAAGGTCCTATGCAGAAGAGAGTCTGAGAAGCCTGACCTTCTGACTAATTTGAATCTGCTATGCTTCCTGTTAAATATTTTAATATAACCCTTGGTGTTAATTATCAAATCAGGAACCAAAAGATGAGCAGGACTGCCTCTGTAAATACAGAGTTGGGGAAGGCATTCAGGCCCCTCACAAACTGATCATTACTATACTTTCTAGCTCTTCTTCTGCTACCCTCCCCATGCTGATTCCAGGGGACAAGGGCTCATAAACACGCACATGCCTGTTCTTGGGTTCTGGATCCACTACCAGGATTCACCCACCTAAATTATTCTCTCTGCCTCCTTCCTTAGCTTTTGTAATCCTCTTACACTCCAGAGGCCTCCTAAGTTTTTACTGCCTCTGCGAAGCTTTGTTGAAAGTTTCTAAACAAAGTTAGTTACTCCTTTCTCTATGTTCCTGCAGCATTTTATCCATGCCTCTCTTATGGTATTTTCCATTTTGTACTATTTCTTTGCAAATCAATCCCATGCAGTGGAACATAGTAACTTCCCAAATGGGGACCATGTTTTAGTCATCTTAAGCCCTCACAGTGTCCAGATTGATACCTAGTACACAGTCAGGACTCATTAAATATATGCCAAATGAATGCACAATGGATTTTTTAATTGGTTACAGGAAATCCATCCTTTCAGTATCCTTCTACCTGGAAACAACAAACCACAATGTTGTAGTCCTAAGATATGATAAGATCAACTTTTTATAAGACTATAAAATGCACTTTAAAAATGCAAAAAAATGCTGAAGTCCAGGTCTGTTTAGGAAGATAAATATTCATGCTGTATCTATATAGAGTACCAAATGCAATACTGGTCCTTGTTGGCCTTTCTCTTTCTTCCATATTGGGTAAAATGCATGTTCCATGCCAAGTACAATGGCAGAGGGATTTTATTTCAACACAGAGCATGCTGAGCTATCGTTTCACAGGATGACATACTCCCACTGTGTTTTGCAATTGATTTCTAATTTCTAATACTGAACATATGCTACTGCAGATTATCTCTTCTTGCAAGCTTATTTTACATGTGGCTTTTATTCCATTTGGGGTTCTTGTGAAATGTAAAAGTTCACTCCCTAACTTTTCGTCATAATTTCTCTTAGCGATACATTTCAGATCATTCAAGTCTTGAATTGTATATTGTGAAAATTGCAGCAATAAATTTTTTAAAGGGCGAATAAGGGAAAGTCATCTTATCTCACATGCAGTAGATAATTTATTTGGGAAGGCCCCTGACTTTGCTGGAGCAAAACAAGACATGTGTTGGCTTGTCAAGCAATTCATTTCAAAAATGAAAAGCAATGGGTTATTTTTCCTTTCATCAGCTCTATATAGAAACCTTACTCTGAAAATAAAGAAAAAAAACTTTTGTACTTGAATATTTAAGACTTTTTAAACCTGTGCTTCCCTAAGAATAAAATGTAGCCCCTTTTCCGGGAAGTGTGAAAAGGAATTCCTTTTAAAAGCAATCTATTTTTTTCAGAAGCCTTTCCAGGCCAGACAAAAGATCAGATAGCCACAGGCTCAGCCTTTGGATCAAACCTTCCCTCAGGAAAGAGAAGGGTCCTTAGGTGTATCTTCTAGGACCTGTTCAGCAAGATGTCAGGGAATCTGCATTAGCCATCAGCAGATTTCATCAGTGAGGTCAAAGCTCCTTGCTTCTGGTTCTTGTCCATCCTGGAGCAAGGTTTTCACTCTCATCTCATGAATGACTAGGAAGCACTTTGAGCCAATGCTCAAAGTATTATCTGGTGACAGTGGGCAAATTTTCAATAAGAAACTTATCAGATGAAAAATTTTTCTAAAACTCAACTTCATTGTTCCCTGGTTTTCTGACTTGTGAAGTGGGAATACTTGTTGTACCTAATTCATGAGGACATGATGAGCTGAAAAGGTGTTTGAAAAAGGAGAGAATGTTGTATGCCATCCTGTGAGTGCTTTAAGGGAGACCTGATGAACTTGCCTCAACTGGTGTCAAAAGCAATGTGCTTTTAGAGGGAGAAGTTAAAGTGCAGCACGAAATAGAAGGTGGAAGAGACTGTATGGAAGGTGGGTTCACGTACAAAGGAAAGACCTGGAGCCCCTGAGGATTACTCCAGCAGCTATGTAAAGGGGATCTGGCCTTTTACCAGAAGCCTCATACTTGAAGCTCTTTCCCTGAAATCT